AGTTATCATACAAAATTGTTTGTGTGCATGCTTGCAGAGTCTCTGGCCTACCTGACTGCAGCCACACACGGGTTGGATGAAGAGGCTGAGGCACTAAAAGAGACGTTTGACCCAGAAAAGGAGACGGTGTGTTCACAAAACATTCTTCCTACACAAATTATGGGAAACAATGACATGCAGAAGCAGTGAACCTAATATGTATTTTTTTTAACAATACAGTAATTCATGTTGATAAATAACATAATTATTGCTTAATTTTAATTTAAAAATGGTTTATTATGTAACTTTTAGGTGCCAGAGGTTGATCCTGATGCACAGCTGCTGCAGCCACCTCCACCCATCAACCCTCTAGACACTAACTGGCCTCTGCTCACCGTCTCAAAGGGCTTCTTTGAGGGAGCTATTGCAGCAAAGGGTAAGTCAAGAGCCACGATGGACTGAAAAGGAACATAATACTTTAAAGTTTCATCCATGTTAGCTTTGTTCAAATGGAACCAAGAATGGAGACACTTAATACTTAATTCCGAACAAGGTTATGTGATTGGTTGGGTTTTGTCTGTTTGTTAGCAGGTTAGTCAAAAGTTGCATATGGAGCAAAACCTTATTAGAGGTGCAACTTGGCCCAACCTGAAAGTGATCAGCTGATGAATATTTGGAACGATTCTTTAGCATTGCTAGATAGGATAATGTTTGACATATCTTTGCAAATACATACCTGATTTAAATAAGAAAAACTGAGATCCCTTTGATGATCTCAAGAAAATATCACAATACAATCTGGATCCAGATATCCAAAGACTCACGTCCATGGTCTGAGCTGAGTTTTTTGCCTGGACTTGGATTGCTTTTAAAACAGCTGGTTGTTTGTTTGTTTTTTGTTGTTTTTTTTAAAATATCTTTCTAATATGCAACAGTGTTGCTTTTTTTTAAAGGAATTCAAAGATGAAGTAATTGTAGAAACATGTGGGATTTAATATGGGCACCTGTTGTTCACCTGTTGTAGGGAAAGCTGGTCAGATGGCTGCCGACTTGGACATGGATACTTCAGGAGGCGAGGGCTGGGGAGATGATGCTGAGCTTCAGCTGGATGAAGGTAAATTCCGACTGATTTTAACAAATCATTTTCTCTTTTTTTTTCTTTTCTTTTTTTCAAACTTTCAGTGTACTGCTTGAGCCTAAAAGTATTAAATGTGTATCTTTCCCTCTCTTCTTCACAGATGGCTTTGTGGATGCTCCGGAAGGATTAGGAGAGGAAGGATTGGGGAAAGAGGAAGGAGGAGGATGGGATGTTGAGGAAGACCTGGATCTTCCTCCAGAGCTGGTGAGAGAGAGAAAAATTCTCATATTAAATGTGAAAAGAACATAAAGCTGAGTACTTTATACTATCTTTACACCAATCAACAGGATGTACCAGTTGGTGCAGGTGGAGGAACAGAGGACGGCTTCTTTGTCCCACCAACCAAGGGCACAAGTCCAACCCAGATGTGGTGCAACAATTCCCAGCTGCCAGTGGATCATATCCTGGCCGGCTCCTTTGAAACTGCAATGAGGGTCCGCTCATATTGACAGTGTTTTCCAACACAGTTTATTTATTTTTGGTTCCCTTTGATAACATATATCATCGTTTAAAAAGGAAGGCATAAATGGTTAATTACTGTTGCTTGTTTCTACCATAGCTGCTCCACGACCAGGTTGGAGTTGTGGACTTTGGCCCCTATAAGTCGCTTTTCATGCAGACTCTGTCCAGAGGACGCACATCTTACCTGGGGCTGCCGTCCCTGCCCTGCCTGCGTGGGCACCCACAAAGGAACTGGAAGGTAGGGCTGTCTATTTGGTGGATGTATTTTTTTATTGATATATCTGCTCCTTTTCTTCATAGTTTCTAATTGATTGCACAAAATAGAAAATGACTTTTTTTATCTTTGATTTTCTTCTCAGGACTGTGGGGCAAAGCAGGGGCTGCCTGCTGTGGGCCTGCGTCTCTCTGATCTCATCTCCCGCCTGCAGCAGTGCTACCAGCTGACCACAGCCGGACGATTTGAGGACGCCGTTGAGCGCTTCAGAGTCATCCTTCTGTCTGTACCCCTGCTGGTGGTTGATAACAAACAGGAGATTGCAGAGGTAAGCAACAAGCATGCCTTGAACCTGATCTGTTTAATCTCTAAAATCCATTTGTAATGGACCTAATAAGCTTGCCTGTATGATTCTCATGGCTCCTGTGGCTTTCAGATAAACTAATTTTGTTGACATGCTGATACACATTTATATGTGCTCAGATACTTAACTGGGTTGTATGTGTTTTAGGCTCAGCAGCTGATTACAATATGCAGAGAGTACATAGTGGGTCTGACCATGGAGACTGAGAGGAAGAAGCTGCCAAAAGACACTTTGGAACAGCAGAAGAGGTTGTGTGAGGTAAAAAAAACACAATGAAGCTTTCACTGATTCACACAAAAAAAATCACCAAAGCATGATGAAAATGTTCAAAAAAATGTTTGTGTTTTCCTTGCAGATGGCTGCTTACTTCACCCACTGTAATCTCCAGCCAGTCCACATGGTGTTAGTGTTGCGCACAGCTTTGAACCTCTTCTTCAAACTGCGTAACTTTAAGACAGCTGCAGGCTTCGCACGACGTCTCCTCGAACTTGGGCCCAAGCCAGATGTTGCACAGCAGGTTGGTTGTTCATCACTCATAGCTTTTTTAAATTTTATTTTATAATTGTCTTTATTAGATGGCCTTTATTTCGCTGGTGTCATTCTCTTGCCATCATCTCCTTTGCAAAAATATTTCCTTCTTTAGACTCGCAAGATTTTGGCAGCCTGTGAGAAGAACTTGACAGACGCCCACCAGTTGAACTACGACCCCCACAATCCATTTGACCTCTGCGCAGCCTCTTACGTTCCCCTGTACCGTGGACGCCCCGTTGAGAAGTGCCCTCTGTCTGGAGCCTGCTACTGCCCCCCTTACAAAGGCCAGATCTGCAGGGTCACACAGGTAGACCAAACAAATGTATATAAAATTTTAGGGACCATCATTTAGTAAAGGAGAGAACATTTGGTCTGAATGCTCAAGTTTCTTGATCACTCAGATCTGAAACTGTAATCATCTTTAATGAGAACACCTGGTAAATTGTTTATGTTTGAAGGTATTTTCTCTTCAGTCAGGGAATAAGGGCTAATAATAACAATAATTATTAATAAATAATATTAATACAGTAATATCTGTTGAAGATTTGCAAGAAAAAAGGCAATACTATCAGTCAAGTTCACTTTCAGCTTAGTGAGCGGAAACCTTTTCAAATCTTCAGATGTGGTTGTCATGACAAGATAGCAGAAATTTTATTAACCACTTCTAAGTTCCTGCTTCTATTTTTATATCATTAAATATGCTGCCTTCACTTTTCCTTTTTATTTATTTAAATGCCCATCTCTGCTATAACTACCACCACCC